CAAGATAAAAGCGAAAGCAAATCGAATCTACGCAATTGACGGCAATTCGGTGTATGTCACAAGATTTATAAATTATCGTAGATTTATACTCCAGGAACCAAGCGGAAAATCGATAAGAAGATTACCTTCGATTTAGTAAAAGTTATATACTGGAGAGGTCATATTCACTCTTGCGACTATTCAATTTAAATTCAATAGATCAACATATACTTTACAACGTACAATATTTTTTAGATAAATGATCTTTTCGATAGTATTCCTTCAGCTTCTCATTTCTCTTCCTTTGTTTAGAGACAACAAAGAACGCATTAAAAGATTATTAAAAAATCATTACATAGTGATTATAATTTGTGATCAATTATATTATAATTATATGTCATTTATATGAGGCACGATCAGTTTGAGACAGACTTTCCTTGAGAGAAGCCTGGATCTATAATTATATATCATTTATATACTTTCACATAATTGACAATATAGTTAGTTCTCAAATTTTAACAATAAACAATTTAAAAGACATTTTCAAAGAATTTTGAGTCAATAACTTTTTACGATCACAGCTTGTGGTATAATAAACTTAATAATCTAGATTTTACTTTTTTCTCCAACATATACCATAAATTCCTACTTATTGATTCCATTATCGCCGCTTTTATTGTTGCCGATATACTTAATACTGTGCACAGCATGCTCTCAAATTCATTGTTTGTTGCTTTTATTGTGCGCGCGAGAAAGACGCGAATAATTAAGGTGGCCGTAATTAAGAGGGGCATTGTTCGATCTTCCTTTCTCCCGTGTGCCTTCTGTGCCGTCGTCGGCCCGTTGTGAGACGGGTCTTCTCGTCCTCTCGTAGAAAGTACGACCTACTGCAGTTTCCATTTCACACACATAACGACTTACATATCATGTTCAAGTGGATCGACGTGTGTACTGGTTCTTTATATAACGGCACAGCCCTGCGGGCTAATATCCGCGTTTTGCATGATTACGCGTCTTCTCGCGTGCGGTTTGCAGCTGTCGCATTTTTACAAGACACTCATAATATTATTATTCAGCAGAGAAACCGTTGAAATGTTTTTTTCTACAACTTCACGTTGACGAGACACTAACTGAATGTCATACTTCCTGTATTTTACGGTGAAATTGTCGCTTGACGTCGAAAATAGAATGCATTTTCAAGAAATTTTTATTATTACTTTTGTAGACTGACGGTTAAAATAGCAGTTTAAACAGTGAAAAGTGAGATGACTCTCGTTTGCGAGAAATTTTAATATACACATGTCAACAATGTTCCGCTTCGCGTTCCAGGTCAATTACACGTATTCGATTTCATTGACATTGACATTAACGCCAGGGAATCTCTCTAACAGACATCCACGCGTTATGTCGTAATTCTCCACGTCGATATTAAGTAACAATTATTTGTACTAGGGTATATCTTCATTTTTAATAAATAAATAAAACGTACATTATTTGCATAATTTTTTTCATTTTTATCAGAAACGACGATAAGATGTTGATCTGAGATCTTTATGCAAAAGTTTAGCGAAGTTGCGAATGCAAAATAATTCGACAAAACACTTAAATTAGAATATTGTAGTTATATAAAAAAAATAAATTCCCTCGTTTACATGTTCTTGATAAATTATCCCTAGTATGCTAAATAGATTTGATTGTATTGACAAGTGCAAGGTTACTGATACTGGTTTTCCAATATCACAGTCGTTCTAGTTTAACGTCACGCATAGCGTAACGAAATAATTTCGCATAGACACACGCAAGGAGAGCAGCATCTAAAATTACTCACATTTTGCGAGTTACGTCTTTCTCGTATCGTTGGCCGCAGTTTCAATCTTTCAACTGGATGGTTCCAGACAGATCGATTAAAAGCAATTAGGTAATTGCACGTCGTTCTCCTCTCGCAGCTGTGACACTTTGTGTTAAGTGTCACAAACTGCGATGTGGCGATTATGCGTCTGTCTCTACTTTCTATTTTAGCACACGTGCGACGGGAAATAGTAGATCCCAGTTTTGTAAGCGGTACTTAAAAAGCAGCAACCTCCGAGAGTGCCCGATCGCTCGTTCGCTAAGCGATCGGATTAAGTTGTGCACGTCGATGGGTTGCACAGATTCCTACGCGGTAATTACCACTTTCCGCAACAACGTTGCATGCAGTTTGACGCGTGCGGCAATATCCCGGGGCACGCGTAAATCAGATCAAACCGGATATTAAATGTCGTTAAAGGGTCGTACGCAAACGACGCCCGCGTTTTGCAGAAAATGCGCACGTTCCAAACTGCGGCGAAAAAAAAATGTTTTAAAGTCTTTTCTGGAATTGGATTTCCGTCGTAGAGCTGCGAAAATGAGCTATCTGGTAATTTGCGCGATTGCCTCGAGAAATGGTCTGTTTCTGTCAGAGGATAATTGAGGCCTAGAAAGCGACGGAGTTCAGAGAAACTTTGGAGCACTGTAGCAAGAATGACGGGGCCGTCCTGTTCGACGATTCATCACGCGGATTCGGAGTTTG